GAAGCCAGACAAAGGAGTGAAGAATCAAAGGAACCGTAACAAGAAAAGGAATGCCTTAAGCGAAAGGTAATACCTATGATATCAATGAAGAAACGAAAGAATGAGAACATCAGATTTTTTTCGAAGAATTAAGGAATGAGAGATCCACATATACGTATAAACATGAGGACTCAACCTTTCTAAGGAGATGGCCACCAAGGTCAAGACGCTGGCCGAGACGCAGACGGGCTGCATGTAGTTGGCGATGGTGCAGAGGGGCTGGCTGAGCAGGGCGGGGTCGCCGACGTGCGTCACCAGGGTGAGCGGCACCACCACGGCGGACACCAGCAGGTCCGACACCGCCAGGTTCGCGATGAAGTAGTGCGCGGCGTTGTGCAGCAGGCGGTTCCGCCAGATGGTCCAGCACACGAACGCGTTCCCGCACATCCCCAGCAGCATCACCACGATGTACACGATGATGAACAGGATCCGCACGCCCTCCACCTGTGTGCGGGGTCATGTTTTCTTTGTAAGGTAGATTAGTCTCACAGTATCTTTTATATTTAGCGCAAATGAAATACGTTGTACGTTGTGCAGTTGTCATGCAATAAAGTTTGAGACTTACTTTACTTATTTATTTAGAAAGATTTATCCGATTGCTTGGTTAAATGTCATGTATCTTGTAATATTTTGGATGTCACAGTCCTTATGACCTCAATGGAAAGTGGCCAGCAGGCCGATATATTTCAAGAATAAACAATGGCTGAAACAAGCAAACAAATTAACAAACCTGCGTCCAGTCCGCGTGTTCGAATTCCTGGTCGGCCTGACCGCCGCACGGACGCGCTGGAGCCGGGCTGGCAGAACCATTGCCGCCGAGGAATGGGGATGTGTAAGCCTGGCTCACAGGCGGCAATGCGGAGGACGTCTCGTTCATGGTTTCCGTCTTGCGCGGTCGGATTAGCGTGACTGTTGGTGGCTCAGAGATCGAGAGGCCTGACTGCCTGGTATCTTCACATCTGCGCGTTCATGGTGAAATCCAACTGTCGCTCATGGTTCTCATCAACGGAACGTGTGTCTATCCGCTGGTCATGAGAGTCCTTCCGGCCAGCAGGGCCCTGGGGGAGAAATAGACGTTTCATTAGTAAAGGTCTCTTGAGGGTTGGGTACAAAGAAATGTACAAGAGATTGACCGAATGCATTAGATCATTTACGGAAGGCCTTGTCTTGCCATGCCGAGTCCTGTCCCAAAAATTCTGTTAAGTCCTTCATGCAGACTAGTGTACACATTAACGATGGTTGCATCTTTTGGCAAATTATTCACCTTCTTATTCACCTACTTATTTTTTTGTCAACCCAAGCAGCCCGGTGGAGACTGCCGTCTGATGTTGTTTGCTCTCCGCATATCCTACTCATAAACGGCTCCACATTTATAACGTAGGTCTATTGACATGTGCTTCACGCTCAGATATTGGTGTTTGCTGGTCATATATTTCATGTGAACGTGATAACAAGACTTTTGTGAATTCTGCGTTACGTGAGACACAATCCGAACACAATCATTCCTAACATATTCATAACGAACGAAAATGGAGCTTCCCTCCCAACACGGACATGTTTTATTTCCTGCTACAGGTAATTTCTGTTTAATTGTCGTAAATCCAGAACGGTTGCTGATAATAGTTCCCGGTTATTCTGAATAAATGTTCTCTAATGATATATGGATAAATACATTAATAGCGAACACTTTCAAACGAATTGCCTTAATTAATACAATGTCTGCGTCGCTCGGGAGAGATGACGTGGTTGTTAGGGCGCGGATGGGAATGTGCACACGTGCTGATGACGTCACCGGGGTAACGCCGACATGTCACCGGCTCGCGACCGGCTTATCTCCAAGCAGACGTGCCGCACCGGTTTGTTTCGCGCGTATTTCTACTTTCCTCCAGTGCGAGAGGACTAGGACCCCAGTCCCCCTAATCACAAGTGGCATAAACATACTCCACAAGCAGATGTTTAGAGGCAAAATCGTGACGTACGTTCTGCTAGCTGGCCGTTTCTGTTACCGTCTGCCTTATGAGGGACCTCTAAAAACTAGCGATTTCGCCTTCCAACGTGTGCTTAATGACGCTCAATCAAAGGTATTTGTTCCACAGAACGATGGGAACTCGTCGTTAAAACTTTGGTAATTTCCTCTTCACTACAAACTAAGGGCATAACGGCCAGGACCTATCATCTGCTTGGAGGTTACGAACGGGAGACGGACGTTGCGCATTGTAACGTTGTATCGTAAAAACGCAAATATTTGTCACCACAAGTAGAGAGTTTGATCCGAGAATCAACAAAATCCAGACAGGTGGATTTCGCGCCATAACAAACTCGGAAAAGCGCCCCGAGAGGGCAAGCCTCTGTCACGTCAGCAGTTCGGCATAGGATTAACATGTCGGGCAAAAACTAAAGCCCCTGTCACACATTCACGTCCTGCCCATGACTTTGCCCCCATCGCTGCTTGGTTGAGAGTAGCCTGGAATCAAATCTATTCTAGCTCCAGTTCGCTCCTCTGATTGCATTAATCAAAATATCAAAATACGTTTTTCCTTTCACGACATTTTGTCAAAATTCTCAAGGTCAAAACTAAAAGTAGTTTTAACCTTGAGAATTTTGAAAAATCGGGTTTGAGGATCTATCGTACTTTCCCACTGTTTTATCATGGCGACATGTCTGGCCAATGCCTGTATGTTACAACGTTATCACTCATGGGTTTGACAGTAAATCGACCAGCCTTTTTTACTCACGCCTACGGTTTACGTGTCTTCATAGTCCAGGAGTTTTGGTCGCATGTACCGTTAACCTTGAGTACACCGGAGTAGCCGTTTGGCTCCCAATTCTCTGTTCGTTATAGGGTTAGGCAGCAGGGAGAAGGTTAAACGTTGTATTGTATCTGAACAAGAAAACACTCATCCTCCGCAGTGATCTGAACAGAAATGAACAAAGCTGTTCTCTGTGCTAGTTTTCAAAGAACTCCGCTGTTTCCTTTGGGTGAATAGGACCTTAGTATGACCTAAATCCAGAGTATAGTTTACAACAACGTCGATAAAAAGGTCTAGTATTTAGCATAGACTAAACTCACCAGTACAACACAATCCCGGGTGCTTATCCTGTCGGGCACGATACAAATTAATGACGCCTAATCAAAGATATTTGTTCCGTAGTTCCACACAACGACGAGGACCCGTCGTTAAAACTGTGGTCATTTCCTCATCCGATACAAACGCGACCTGTACACATGTCCTAAACACTACAGGTGTGCTGCGTCTTTACGACGCTGTAATATAGACCTAAGACTGTCTACAAGACACTCACCTCGTTTCTTCGTTAGCAGTTTGTTCAAGTCGACGTTATGTGGAGCGTCTCCCAATGACAGTGTCGTTGGCACGGCAAAGTCAGATCCGTTCGAGGGCCACCTGTTTTACAGACGGCTATCCAAACAGCTAATGCGCTTTCCACTTGTGAGAAACCACGGGCGTCGTGCGACAGGTTTATGACTTGGTCGTGGATGCGTCGTACAAACGTCGGCTGTCCTGTGTTGGTGGAAAAGTTACTGTAGATCCTTGTCCGTTATATCAAAACCTCACTGAAAATCCTGCTACAAAAATGGTAAAAAGTGTGTGACCGCACACCTATCCTGTCCGTGCTGGCCGCGGGTGAGTGTATGAGTGGGGAGGGCCGGTTGCCTTGCCTAGAGCCGCGCGGCCTCTGAGTAGCACGGGAAGGTCCGTCCATCCATCACCATAAACCTGACAAGGCTGTTTGATCTGCCAGGTGATTTCTGAGTGGCGCGGCGATTGGTGTAAGGAGAGATAGTTTGGGGAGGTAAACATGCTTGCGTTGTGTGCTTGCGGAGTGTATGTGTAGGAATCGCGGCGTTTTCACTTATGACACACAGCGGTCAGAACGTGGGAGGAGATTCGTGACTTTGGTTAACAAGATTGGAGGTGCATTCTGTCATAGTCATCCCGAAGTCAGGAAATCAGCATTCAGCCTTCTAGATCTAATCATCCCCTTAGAAAAAAGAAACTTTCAAGAACCCACCGAACTTATGGAAAAGAGTAGGGTCCATCCCGTTGTGAGTAGATCCGGCCTTACAGCCAAATCTTACGTAGCTTGTATACTTGAACGAAACCGGTGTGTTGCGCCGTGAGGTGGTTTACTGGACATGAGAAGCAAACATGTCAACTAATCACAATAACGTAACACCCAGTGTAGATCTTTGTAGGACAGATATCAAACTAACATGCACGATCTGACTACATCTTGCACATGGATCCGGCTAAGGGACTAGGCACATTTGTCGACTTTGTTTCGGTGTTATGCCTAGATATAGATAGACGAAAGATATCAGACTACAGAGGTACGACCAAAGTGTGACCTCACACATTGAACACCCGAACCTGTCACCTCGATGGCCCTAACCTGCACCTGAACCCTGCCTTGACGGTGACGTGATCAGCTGTAGATATTTATGGCTGTGCCGCGGAGTTATCGGCCCCGCGAGGCTCGGGTAATACTTCCCATAAACAATCCGCACAAAGCGCCGTGACAAGGTTTCCGTGCGACGCCCGAATCAAAAGATACCGGAGCGTTTTTTCTCGAGTATCATCTAAAGCGCATTAACGATTATGACTTGATACATAAGAATGCTTTCAAGGTGTGTGTGTGTGTGTGTGTGTGGGGGGGGGTGCACTGCACTTCACTTTTTAGTCCCTTTTGTTAACGTGTGTAAAAGGATGTTACACCACTGTTGAGTGGTTTGTATATATTGTGTTACGTTGCCACGGTGTTCTTTGCAAATCTACAGGAAGGTTCCCTACAAAGACTACCATACAAGTACGCGAACAGGTGGTTTGGTTCGCAGTATACATTAGCCTTGGACCAAACCAGCTCAGTTTCGAACGCGGACATTTCCCCACACACACATCCACACACACGCACACACACATGGAAATGTAATGTACCTTTCCTTACACTCCCCGTGTTTATTTCCATTGCATCTCGTATATTATCATCTAACTAATATTGCTGCGTACATAACATGTATCACCGACCAGATGAGAGACTTTAAAATTCACGACTTCAACGACGAACACGTTTTAGCGTTCGATTCTAATCACAGACCAATGACTACAATAATGTATCATAATATTTTCATACATGTCATATATGTGACAACACAAACATATACAGGATATTATCGCAAAGCTACTAACACCCTTTTCCATTAGAGACTGCGACCTAAGTTTTTACTTTTTGTGTGTGTTGTCTTTTAAATTATTCATGTATTTTAACCATTTCATTATATTCCAATGATAAAAGAAAAAATCACATAAATTCAAATTTGGTCACTCAACGGTCGCCCTCTGGTGGAAAGACCTCACCCAATAGCCATTACAGTTGTGCAAAAAGGCCACCACAGCAGGAGTATTAAAACCGGCACTAAAACTGTAACTGTCTTTTCTCTCGTAAGGCGTAGAATATTTCTTGCATCCTCTGATTACAGGAAAGACCACAGATATAAGCTAATGAGCATGGGAATGTACTTTTATGTTATCTTACTGTGTTATATTGGTCCAGGATTCTCTGTTAAGCCCTGGTCACATACGACGCACGTAGAGTTGAAAAAACTTCTTCCCCAAACCTACGACGTACCGCGGTATGGTCGAGAGAAAAACATTGTACGAGCGTCGTGTGATGTATGTGACCGGGACTTCTCTTCGGAGGTAGCCAGTACGACTTTGGTAAGCTTAGCTAAGCCACACGGTTAGGCACTTTATTAAGTATACATAAAAGCTACAAAGAGCGCAGCCCGCCCCAGGACAAGAAATTTCTATCCTCTTGGAAATTTCTACCCGATGGAGACAAATACGATACACTGGGAAAACTTTTACACGAGCACGATTATGTTGATCTTAGGTATCTTCAAGAATATGTGTGACCTCGACTTGCTCCTGAACGTCATTTTGCGGCATTTTTATGTTTTGTTTGTTAGTCTTGAATGTAATTAGATTTATTTTTAACAGACATCTTGCCTTAATCATTTATTTTGTTTGTATTTCAGTTGCTATATTTTCATTGTATTATTTTGCTGAATTTCTGGGATAATAGTGGATATTGTATCACTAATGGAGATGACTAAAACCAAACCAAAACCAAACGACGTAAAGACGCACAGAAACAGGCCGGAGATGCACGTCTGCTTGCAGATGAGTTGAAATGTTGAGCTGCACGTTTGTTCCTCCAACCAAAGAGGTTATGCCTAATTACTCTACCACAGGGACGTGGACCGGCCGCCAGGGGGGTTGATGACCCGCGTGCTGGGGCGGCTGCGCGGTGATTTGACCTCCTCCACCTCCGGCAGCTCCGGTGCCATCTCTGATAGGCTGAAGCTGGACTGGTGCAGGTCACGTGACGCACGGGCTGACTCCTGCCTACCGAAACCGTCCGTCTGCAGGGAAAACGGGACAAATACGTTAGAAATAAGGTAAGAATCATGACAGGTTTGCCCGACTCCATCAACCTTCATTCAACCGGCACAGCAGGCGATATAGACGATACAGACACCTTAGACCCACCGTCTAACATCACACACACCGGAACACACAGGCGAACACAACCAAAACAATACCTCCGTTTTCACGGAGGTAACAAGAGGAAGTCCTACCATTTGTACGGGCTCCGAGACAGGCCCGGTGTACGGGTCCCGGGTCACCTTGTCGGGCTTCTGTAGCCGGTCTCTGGTGGCGATGCGGCCGTGTGTGTAGCTTCCAAACGGCTCCCTGGGAATTTTGATTTGTATTTAAATCTCATTACTTTTATTCAGATAAACAACATAAGGCAACACTTTTTTAACATGGCAAAACGCGATGTGGTGAAACCTTCTTTATAACACAAAGATGATGTTCGTGAATGAGGGAAAAGGAGTCAAAGTGGAAAAATCACATGTAACGATACTAACGTTGCTGTTTGCCCTTAGGTTTTCTTGTAGAAGATACTGAGGAAAACTAAAACCCAGACACTGGGTACAATATGAGCGAAGGAGGTAAGTATAAGAGTAACAAAGAAAGAGAGGGAAAACTTTGACAGAAGGAGTGGTTACCTGGGGACGAATTTTCCCGCCCCCGCCGCGGCCAGAAGTCGGCCCTCCTCTATGACGACTTTCCCGCCAAGTACAACCGACAGGGCGACGCCATGGCACACCATGCCCTAATAAGGGTAAGTCAGCATTTATAAAATTCAATGATTTTTCATCACAAACCACACTCAAACTGGAATATAATCCATTTACATTGAGTATGTGATCGAGTAAGAACGTAACTGACTGTGTAATGTAAGTAACATTTACTAATCATTGTGATTGTGAATGATTCCCCTTTTTTCTTCCTACCATCGTAGATAGAGTTTATCAAAGTTATCATCACATTTTTCCTTAGCTGATAGACATCACAAACAGGTAAATGTGAATAAAAATAACTTTTCTGGAACTATCTTTCGGTAAAAGGCGGTCAAATTTGCAGTGAGTAGGAAGTATAATTTCTTCTTACCTCAAATATATTGAAGTCCACAGCCTGGTGGTGTGTCTTGGCGGAAATCGTTCTCGTGGCAGCCGGATCCCACACCACGAGATCTCCGTCTGAACCGACGTCAATTCGGCCCTGGAACACACGCACCATACATCCATGTTCACACTGAAGCACACACAACGAATATCTGACTGGAAAAGGGTCAGCATCCTCGAGCTCTAAGAAGTAGCCTCACCTTCTTGGGGTACATGTTGAGCACCTTGGCGGCGTTACTGCTGGTCGCGGCCACGAACTGGTTCTCGTCCATCTTCCCAGCGTGCACCGCGGTCTCCCAGAGGACCGCCATTCTGTCCTCTACCCCGTTGACCCCGCGCGGGATTTTCCTGAAGTCGTCTTTCCCCAGCGCCTTCTGCTCGGCGTTCAGGGTCGCGTCGCTACTTCCGCACACTTGAAGATCACCGCTGCACGGAAGGAGAACACAGGAGACGTGTAAAACGTTTTAGCTCCAAGTGTGCGTTTTATCGCCGAGATGTCGTTAGACTAAATTGTGTACCCCCCCAAGCAGAGGTTGATTGGGACGATTCTGACCTTGTTCTATGTAGCATTTTCTGACAGCCGACCAAATCAATCAATATGGGCCGCCAATGGATAGTGTTTTGCCAATTGGACACTGTCTTGCCGATTGGCTACGACTTTGCCACCCAGAGATCTGCTTGGAGACTACGATGTCTAGGCTACAGATGTGATTTCCACTAAATGTTAGAGGAAGGGAGAGGGAAGCTGTGATTTGATAAGAGACAAGAGGAGCATTGTGATAAGGCCACACCAATCTAACTTGCCGGTTCAAGGATTTCAATAGAAGATGAAATATACTAGGTGATCAACATAGTTTCAGGAAGCTTCAAGTGCTAAATTTTAGTTAAAAACGTCTAAGAACCATGACATGAGTCGGTATGGCCTTTGTAGTATTTGAGAATGTACTACACCACCTCGTCTAGCGGATAATGAGAACACACCGCACAACTCTAACAAGGGATGAGCAAGCCAAGCCCCCATCATGCAGCACACACTGCTCACGTTTTACTCGCGCCCGCCTTCTGATCCGAGGTGTAGCTGCGGTCCGCGCTGGCTAAACATTGCAGGTCCCCGCTAGTGGGATAAACGGGACAACCACGGGTTATGCATGTTTTCACGTGCTTGTGGTGTACATCTACGGTAACAGGCGACGGGGACATCAACGTCTACTAGTGGGCTGCAGTGTGTGTGTGTATGGGGAATGTTAGTGGTGTTGATGAAGACTTTACCATGCTGAAAGCAGGATGCACGACTTAGTAAAGGTCCAACCACAGTCTCCGAGTCCATCTACAACTTCTGAGTTGTACGCGTGCTGCACACACACACACACACACACACACACACACACACACACACACACACACACACACACACACACACACACACTCACACATTTTCTTGGTAAAGGTATCAAAGGAGCTTTCTTGGCCGGCATATTGATGACGTTGGCCGGAGTGTTGGTCGGTGATAATCACAAAGAAACAAACCAACACACTAACAAAAAGGGTTTACTTGGCCAGCATTTCATTTGGCGAAGTGTACAGAAGTGTTGGCGTCAATACGCTCGGTCACGTAAGTACGCACGCACAAACCGACAAACAACCATGCTTACTTGGCGAGCAGGTTGGTGAGGTGTGCCGGTGTGTTGGCGTCAGCCCGCAGAGGCGGCTCTGTGACGTAGCCGGCGGCGTGTCTCCAGTCCGGGTCCCAGCAGTGCGTCCCGTCCAGGGCCACGCTAGCTGACGTCACCTCTCCGTACACAAGCTTTCCTGGAAAAGAAATGTTAATGCCTCATACTCTGATGTGGTCAAACATACATACGCTATTCCTCTTCTAGCTGAAACTGGGATGCGGCTAGCCACCCATACCCACATCTAGGTGTGCTAGGTGCTCAAGGCTCTTCTCCTGCAAAACGGGATCCCCGTCTTAACGCCTACACGCAACCCCAACCACTAAAGTTAAAATCACTTTCTTGGACGGACCAAAATATACGAGTCTCTAACGTATCTTCTGTACAGATGGATTCGAACGTGCATTTACCCATGGGCCCAAATATACAGTTCTCGCTACCCCCAATAAGCGCCTCATGGCAAAACACTATTCTGTATTTTGGTAACTGCAGGTGTGCGAATAACTGATTAAAAAATTGGGTTCTTTAACTGATTAGGTTGCTTTGAGAGTGACTATTTCCCCACACAGGACCGAACCGATGGCTTACAGTACATCCTTCAGTAGATCCGACCACCACCTACGCCAACTACTTACCGCTTTTCCTGGCCGTGGCGATGACGTCGGCAGCGGGTCGGCCTGTGATTGGCTGAATGTACAAGGGTACGTTGACGGCATGGGCAAGGCTGATGGCCCTGAACACGGCCTCGGTCTCGGCTTCCTCCGGGCGGCTGAGCACGCAGCCCTCGGGCCCGGTCACACCCTGCTCCGCCAACCTCCGCTCCATCTAACGCACACAACAACCGGGATTACAACGGTTTATACTGGCATTACCGTGCTTACAGTCACGTGTTTATAATGTAATGAGTCATTCATTTCTAGGCAGGCTGAAGGATTGGTGGAAAGTTCGATTTACTTTGATGTTTAAAAAAATCTAACTTTCGTCCGTTATGACAAACTTATCATTACTTTTCACTTCCAGACTTTAAATCCGCCGTGTAAGAAGCGCCACAATCGATCCAAGACATCTTTTTAAAAGGATACTATAACATTTCACTTGCCCACTGAATGGTAAATTCAGATGTTTGTAACGCATTATTTAGTCATGGGAATAGCTGAATTTCGTCAACTTTCAAATCTCTAATTGACTAGCACTATACGCTCGTCAGACTCTCGTGAGAACTCTGTGAGAATCTCGTGAGAACTCCGTGCTCCGTACCTCCCTGATGATGTCCCCGTTCTCTGCGTGCACCACCGGCAGAGCGCCCAGCTCCTTGCACCTGCCGAACAGCTGAAGCAGCTGCGCGTCCGTCAGCCGCGTCTCAGCCGCCATCGACGTCTTAAAGGATGTCACACCTGAAGATAAGATGATTCTCGTCAAAACTGCTATTTTCTTGGTGATAAAAATACTGGATACACCTACTGTTCCCCTTCAATCTCTTGAGTATTTAAATACATGTATATCGTTTGGTTAGTTTATCTTGAAAGTAGGTCTAGACCGGAAGTACGTACCTTTGTTGACCAGGTTCTTCAGCTCCCCGGAAGTGGTGTCATCCCATGACGTCACGCAGGCGTGTAGAGTGAACCCGCAGCAGGACTGTAAAATGAACAAAGCTGATGTCAAACACCTTTCACCTTGCTTTCACTAAGTCATGGATGTTTCAGTCTATTCTCTATTTCTGTCTCCGACACTAACGTGGGGCCTTGTCAGATGCGCAAATGCGATATGACTTTCCTAGCTGTGATACACTGATCTCCAGATTATGCAAGGGGCTTTTGATTGCGTGATTTTTCAAAGGATTCCTCGCTTTACCTCTAATTGGAGATGATAAAATTTTGCCTTGCCAGAAAATATATAATACTATGCCAATTACAGTTCTTGTCTGCTTACCTTTTCGTTCCCCTGGGCCTTCCACCGCTCAAAGGCGTCCTCTAGCGACTCGTCTTTGTCCTGCATCACGAACCCCGCCACGAGCGTGGTGCCTCCGGCCAGGGCCGACTGCGCACGGATGGAAAAACAAAGCATGAAGGATGCTCCAACAAGTGACAATAGATGGAAGATAAATGTTAACGCAATGATTATGATTTCTCGCTGCAACTCTTGGCCTGGCCAAATCGAAATGTACGACGACCAAGGATGTCTGTCTGGTCGTTGTAAAGTTATTCATTTGTCCACCTTGCAATTGGTTTCATTTTACCATTTATTCATTTGTCCACATCGGTTTCTGTTTAACAGACGTTCCCGTTTCTGTTACATGTCTTGTATAATTTTTGTTTAATTTTGTTCAGTGTTGCCGATGATAACCACTGTGTACTGTATTTGCTTTGACTGCCGAAGTCATACAACCGAAGCCATACATTAGAGACAACACAACACACACAAAAGGTGACAGACGTCTGAATAGATCGTGTCACAGATGAGCGGGCAGACAGTTGATAAACCGGACCTTTCATCCCTTCATTTGCATAAGCAGGTGTTCTCTTCCGTCTCGCCCACAGGATTAATCACTAATGCTTCCGTTGCAGCCACAAAAGCCAGATCTTTGTCTCACAAGTCGCCTCTGAACTACTAGTATTCAGATTTCACAACAAACGTTTGGGCGACATTTTCAAAAGCAGTACACATGTGGCCTATTGAGGCATATACGCTTCCATCATTTAAGGCCCATAAATAAAAATTTTAAAAATCAACAAAATAAAAGGTAATAAAAATATAGATGGCATTGAAGAGAGGGGGTGTCTAACCACTTAAAGCAACAAAGACATATGAAATAGTCGATTCAGCCAGCATGCTGTTACCAGGATGAATGGGCGTTAAAAATAGATCTGAGTCATCAGACTACTTATATAGCTGAACTAATTTTGATCCAAAATAACCCGTAAAGGCGTTTGTCCTTGCGAATGATGTCGGTTCCTCCGAACTCTCCATTCCGCCTTTTATTCCTAATGATTCATTTGTTCAACAGGAAATGAAAGGAAAGAGAACAAAACCTGACCATTATGCGCAGCTGCGGAAGGAGAAAGCTCCTCTTTCAGCCAAATGCATCTTAGAGTCAGACGATCAAAAAGCATTTGCGGAAACCGCGATAATAATACACCATAGCCGTATGCCATCGGGCCTAGCCAAAAGTATCACGTATCTTGCATGGAAGGCAGTCCAGTCCAGGGAGGCACGAAGAAAGAAGTGCAACTAGAAAGGCCAATATTTGCTTTGGAGCAAATACAGCGATGGGTTCACCACATTTTACGACATGGCAGGGAAAGAATGAGAAACACAAGGGAAAACAATGATTTACATTGATATAACTATAATATGAAGTAAAATACAACTAAAACAACAGTTGGATAGCTATTCCCTACTTTATTGGTTAGGATTTTTAATTGCATAATGCAAACTGTTGATTTTCAAAATAAAAAAAAACGTCCATGCCCCGCATTCCAATGCTGGAGCAGGAAAGCTTGAAAAAAACACTTGAATACAGACATACTGTGAGTATGGAAATGCTCTGTGCAGGTGTTAATCAAGTTAAATCCCAACAGCCAATCAGCAAGAAATGCTCTGTGCAGGTGGAAATGCTCTGTGCAGGTGTTAATCAAGTTAAATCCCAACAGCCAATCAGCAAGAAGAATAGAGGAAAGCTGCATGCCTATTGGTTGATGCCCTGCATTCCATTGTGATGACTCATGCCCAAACGTGGTAAACAAGGCACACTAACGGACAGGTAATACATTTGCTATAACACAGCCAAAAAACTCAAATAAAACCATTCTAAAAGCCTGTATCACAATAATTTAAAAAACGCCTAGGGGTATTTGCCCACTGTACCTCCATACCAAATTTCAGGACCTTGGGCCCTAAAATGAAGAAGCTGAATCCATTTAAAAAATGGCAGGAGAAGAAGAAGAAGAAGAAGAAACATCAGAAAAAGCAATGAGGCTGGGGAAAAGTGGTTGTCAAATCTTCTGTGATGTCCAACGGTCAAAAGTAGACTAAGGGGTAGACAAGATGAGAGATGAGATGAGGTAGATTCTAATTTTAGAGAAGTTAACCATACGAGTGACCATTGCCTTTTGATATCGTATTACTGAAAGGCCTGTAAATTTCCTGGCAGCCTGTCTTGTTCTGTCTTTCTCCAGGCGGGATACATTCAGCCGCACCGATCAGCCAGCCAGGCAGCCAAGTGAGAATAAAGGCTGCGCCCAGGGAAGTCTGCCATGGGCTGGTCGCGTTTGTTCCGTCCCATTCCTACCGAAGCACGGGTCACAGACTCCGTAAAAGGGCCACAAAAAGGCTGAGAACTCGTCATTAAGCTTAACAAATACAACTG